TCAAGCGATCCTTCTGCCTCAGCCTCCCGAGTAGCTGGGACTACAGGCATGCACCACCATGCCCGGCTAATTTTTTCTATATGTATTAGTTGGCCAATTAATTTCTTTCTATTTATAGTAGAGACGGGGGTCTCGCTCTTGCTCAGGCTGGTTTCGAACTCCTGACCTCGAGCAATCCTCCCGCCTCGGCCTCCCAGAGAGCTAGGATGACAGGCGTGAGCCACCTCGCCCGACCTGGAAAGGTCCTTTGAGGGCCTATCGAGGGGAGCTCAGTGTGGAGAGCAGGGACCAGCGAAGAGCCTGGGCCATGATGCCAGGGTCCAGGAGGCACCTGCAGGCGCGTGGTACAGGGCTAGGAGGGCCGAGAAAAGCCAGTTACAAAGCAAGGTATACTCCTGGGTGGCCCTGGGTGCCTGCTCAGATGTAGCGCAGCCAGCAGGTGCGTGAGCCGGGTGTCCAGGGCCTGCCCAGCCTGGAGATGAGGTAGCCAGGGGCCTGGAGGGTGGGGAGAGGGGCGTGTGCCCTGGGGGGCGGGAGGGCAGCAGGGGTGCTGCCTCTGAGACCCTTCCCGCCGGACATGGAGGAAGCATGCAGGCTGTGAGAAAGCCAAGAGTCCCTGCAGGATGGGTGCCCAGGACACTGTCCCTTTGGTTTCCAGGGTGACCAGCGGGATGAGGAAGAAGAAACCCAGATGAAGAAGTCAGAGTCAGAGGTGGAGGTGAGGGGGGGCCCGGGTCGGGTGAGGTGGGCGGGGCTGCCTCCACCGGGCCGTGCCCAGCCCAGCAGCAACCCTTGTGCCCTCAGGAGGCAGCAGCCATCATTGCCCAGCGGCCCGACAACCCCCGGGAGTTCTTCAAGCAGCAGGAGCGAGTGGCCTCGGCCTCCGCGGGCAGCTGTGAAGTGCCCTTGCCCTTCAACCACCGGCCAGGTAGTCCCAGGCTTCAGCCCCTCGCCTGACCTCACTCCTCAGGTCCTGGCCCCGAGCCTCTCTGGGACTCTTTCTGGAAGGGAGGCCTTGCCCAAGGACTGACTCCCTGGAGAAGGCGAGACCCTTCATCCAGCGTGCTTCCACCCGCCGCTTCCCAGGTGGCAGGGCCCCGAGAAGGGCCGGGGCAGTGTCTGCGTTGGGCCTTGGCTGAGCAGTGGGCGGCGCCAGGGCCCACGGGCAGCTCTGGCACGGCTGGGGGCGCACCGCCAGCCGCAGGGAGCAGCCCTGCTGGGGCCAACTAGGCCCGGCCTGAAGGTTGGGGGTGCATGTGGGGTGGGTTCTCGCCCTGGCTGAGCTTGAGCAGCCTGGACCCTGCACCCGGGCTCCGTGTCAGCCCCTCCCCCAGCTCCGCACCAGCGCTCTCGCACCCTGTCTGCCGGTCTGGCGTGCTTGGCCTCGAATGTGTGGGCTGTCCCGTTGTGCTCTGCTTAGAGGCTGGCTGTGCGTGGCAGGCTCCTCGCTGTGTGCTTGCTGCCCGGCTTGGCTGAGTGTGCATCTGGCTGGAGGCGGCTTGGACACCCAGGGCCGGCCCTGGGGGCGGGTGAGGCCTCGGGCGGGGGTGGGGGAGACTGACCCTCTCTTGTCCTCTGTCTCTCTCTGTCTGTCTCTCTCGGCAGGTCGTCCGTACTGCCCTTTCATAAAGGCATCGGACAGTGGGCCTTCCTCCTCCTCCTCTTCCTCTTCCTCCCCTCCACGGACTCCCTTTCCCTATATCACCTGTCACCGCACCCCAAACCTCTCTTCCTCCCTCCCATGTAGGTAGCAGCCCCAGGCCTCGGCGGGGGGTAAGGAGGGCCCCGCTTCCCAGCAGCCCCCCGCCCTCACTCCCCTAGCCTGACCGCTGATCTCTGGTGTCTGTCCCCCAGAGCAGGTGCTGCCTGCCTCTCGCCCCCGGCCCTGTGGGGCGCCGGCCCCCGGGGGCCTGGCTTATAGGGTCTGGAGCTGTAGTCTGGCCCCTGGGGGGCCTGGGGAGCTCCCAGCCCCCACTCAGACTCCAGAGAGGAGGTGCTGGCCAGGTCCCAGGTGGACAGTCCTGGTCCTACCCTGCTCCACCACCCTCACTGACCAGCCTGGGGCTTTCCCACAGGCAGCCACCTGGACAGCCACCGGAGGATGGCACCTACCCCCATCCCCACCCGGAGCCCATCGGACTCAAGTGCAGCCTCCACTCCTGTCACCGAGCAGGTCGAACGGGCCCTGGATGAGGTCACGCCCTCACAGCCACCGCCACTGCCACCACCCCCCCTGCCAGCCCAAGGTGAGAGAGGGACCCCACCTGCACCGGGCCTCCCGTCATCCCCTGGGCTGCAAACCCCAGGTTGCCATGGTAACAGCTCCCCAGGGATCTGGGCCACTCATTTTCACACCTGTACTGTCCCGGAAGTGTCTGGCAGGAGGCAGCGCGGTTTGCAGTCAGACCTGCACTCCCCGAACCTCAGCGCCTTCCTCCTGGGCTGCTGTGCAGTTTACAGACGCTAGGTAGAGGGGTACTGGGGTGCACGTCGGTGCTGAGAGGAACCCTGTGTGGAAGTCCCCAACTCCCTCTCTCCTCACTGGGTGGAACGGGGTATTGTAGGTGGCCGCCCGGGGTGGGGTCTCCATCCTTCCTCCCCAAGGGAGCTGATTGGCATCTGTCTCCTCCATCTGTGCTGTGACAGAGACCGAGGAGCCCAGCCCCAGCCTGGACAGGGAAGAGACCAGAGCCGCAGCCCCTCCGGCCTGGGCTGGCCCCATGGAGGAGCCCCCTCAGGCACAGGTGCCCCCCCGGGGGCAAGGCAGGCCTGAGGAGGACTTGACGTTCTTGGAGGAGTGTCCAGAGCAGGCTGTCTCGGCCTCCCCCATGGAGCCTGCCGCGGCCGACACCACTGTGGCTGACACCTCGGTGGCTGATGCCAATGTAGCTGACACCAGCGAATCTGCTGCTGCCACTGCTGACACCACTATTGCCAACAATGTCCCCCCCACCACTGCCAACCTCATCAACCTATGGCCTGGTGACGGGGAAGGGGCCTCCGCACTCCAGGCTGAGCCCCTGACCCCCACGCCGTCTTCGGGTACTGAGGTCACCCTGGCAGAGGTACCCTTGCTGGATGAGGCGGCTCAGGAGCCCCTTCCACCAGTAGGTGGAGGTTGTACCAACCTTCTCAATTTTGATGAGCTGCCTGAGCCGCCTGCTACCTTCTGTGACCCAGAGGAGGAAGCAGAAGGGGAGCCCCTGGCTGCCCCCCAGGTCCCAGCTCTGCCCTCAGCTTTCGGGGAGCTGGAGCAGGAGCAGGAGCCAGAGCCGGAACCCCACCTGCTGACCAATGGCGAGACCACCCAGAAGGAGGGGACCCAGGTGGGGCAGGGGCAGCCTGGGGGAGGGCTGGTAGTCAGGCTAAGCAGGGGGGCTGGCTCTGCATTCCTCAACCTTGCAGCAGTACCCCATCCTCTCTGTGACCCTCATTATTTGGGGGGATGCTCATTCCACTCCCCCTCCCTGGACCATCTCTGCTTTTGTTCCCAAGGCAGGCTTCTGTGTTTCCCTAGCAACCACTGATGGGATCATTGGTTGCTGAGGAAACTGGGCTCAGGCCTGATAAGCCAGCCCTAGTCCTGCTGGGTGGGGCCCAGTGACCTGGTGCTTTCCCCTGCAGGCCAGTGAGGGGTACTTCAGTCAGTCACAGGAGGAGGAGTTTGCCCAATCCGAAGAGCTGTGTGCAAAGGTTCCGCCTCCTGTGTTCTACAACAAGCCTCCAGGTAGTCCTGGGGGGATTGGGTGGCGGTCTGGGTCCTAGTGTGCGCAGGCAGCCCCACACACACACACACTACCCGCACAGCTCCCAGAGGTTGGGGACAGAATCATGCATGTGCTGGGCCATCTCCTGAAGTCCTCTCCTCTCACTCCACAGAAATCGACATCACCTGCTGGGATGCAGACCCAGTACCGGAAGAGGAGGAGGGCTTTGAAGGTGGCGACTAGCGGTGGTGCCAGCCCTAGGTGCCCTCGCCAAGGCCGCCCACCTGTGCCACCTCTGGCCAGACGGCCCGCAGCGCGTGCACTCACAGCAGCTCCGCCTGGCACCTACCTTCTCCGGATTCCGGCCGTGGCCCAGGACTTGGCTGCTTCCCCACCCACAGGGCCTGACTTTTACAGCTTTTCTCTCTCTCTTTTTTTTTTTTTTAAAGTTGATAGGAGACTTGTACAGTTGACTGGTTTTCCTCCCGTTGGTAGTTGAGCCGCTGTTGCAAAATTCCACCCTTCCTGCCCGGTCCAGACTGTAGCTCTTAGTCCTTCCTGCTCAGCTGGCCGGGGGCAGAGGCCTCACCCTGCTTGGGGCCTGGTGTGGGGGGAGCTCTGGTGGGAACATGTCCCCCCACTTCTTTTCCTAGTTTTATGTTTCTTGGAAAAATATCACTTTGTATTCTCTGTCCAGGGCTTCAGATATTTTGCACGAATTTTAAAACATGGCAATAAATGGCTCATGGGCTCTGGCTCCCTGGGACCCCCCTCCCTGCCTGGCCCAAAGGAAGTAGCAGGCCCAGCTGGGGCCCCTCGGCTACCCCGCCCTCTCCTGCCGGGCAGGTCCCAGGCTGGAGGCCCTAGGCGAGATTCAGGTCGGGTCTGTGGATGGGGCTCCTCCCCAACTCCTTCCTCTTTGCTTGGGTTCCTTTTTCACATTCAGTAACTGTTTTTTTGGAAAGCACAAACTTCTGTAACGGGTCGTGCTCATGTCTGTTAATAAAGAAGTCCAGATCCCTTTGGGCCTGCTGCTCTGGGCCACCAGGGACTGATCTGGTGGGGGCCACGCCCCGGCCCCCATTCCCACCTCCTCTGCCACCAGGGGCGCCCTAGCCGCCATCGCACAGGCAGGCCAGGTGGCGGTCGGGGCTCCCAGGACAACCTGCCCTGGTCCCGGAAGGCGGCTGTCCCTTCGGGCTGGCTCGTGACGCGCTCACGCTCCTACCTGCCAAGGACCCAGCGTGTCTGGCCACCAGAACCCTGGGCGCAAGCAGTGGGTGCCCCCTCCGCTTGTACCAAACCAGATCACACACCTTTATTATCCTCAAAATGTAACAAACGGGGTAAGAAATCCCTCCCTCCCCCCGCCCCTCCCCGCAGTCCAAGGGAAGCATTTAAAAAGCCCCGCAGTCAGGCCAGGAGTGCGCCGGCGGGGCCCGGGCGCCGGGCGCCCCTCTATACGGCTGTAGTCCTCCCGAACAAGGGGATGGAGACCGGCAGGCGCCAAGCTCCGTGCTCCAGGGGCTCGCGGCTGCCGAGCTCCGAGTCGGTCCAGCTGGGGAAGACGCGGCGGGCGCGCTCGGCCTGCAGACACAGGGCGGGGCAGGGCGGCGCGGGCCGCGGGGCGCTGGGCAGGTGCAGCGCCGAGGTGTAGCCCCGGTCCAGGAAGAGCGGCTTGTAGCTGGGCGGCGGCTGCTCCTGCTTCTCCGCGCTGTCGCGGCGGCTCAGAAACGGCGTGACGATCTTGCGGTAGAGGCCGCGCGTGTCCGTGAGCACCTCGCTGTAGGGCGGCGGCGGCTCGGCCATCAGCACCGCCTCCTCGTAACACGGCGGCTTGGACATGTCCGACTCCGCTGTGGGACGGGAAGCGGCCCGGGGGGGTGAGGCCGCCGGCCCCCGCCCCCGCGAAGGCCCCGGCCTCCTCCTCCTCCTCCTCCTCCTCGGCTCTGCGGGAGGCGCGCGGCGAGCCCGCCCCCGCCAGGCCCCGCCGCCCCGGCAGCCCGCCCGCCCGCCCCTCGCCGGGCCCCAACTCACTTTGGCGCGGGTAGCTCCAGGGCCGCGGCGGCACGGAGAGGTGCGGCGGCGGCGGGTGCGGGAGCGCGTGGTGGTGCGCGTGCGCGTGCGGCTGCGCGGGCCCGTGGTGCAGCAGCGGGTGCACGTGCACGTGCGGGTGCGCGTGCGCCGGCGCCTCCAGGCGGCTGCGGTGCGGCGGCGGCGGCGGCGCCAGGCCCGGGGGGCTCCCGGCCAGGCTGCCCTCCAGGTCGAGGGGCTCCAGCTCCAGGGCGCGCAGGTTCTGCTCGCGCAGGCGCTCCTCCTGGCGCCGTTTGAGGCGGCGGCGCAGGAAGCTGCAGAAGCAGCACAGCAGGACGATGAGCCCCCAGATGAGCCAGAAGCCGGCGAAGCACGTGAGGAACGTGTAGGTGCCCTGGGACATCACCATGGCGGCGGCGCGGCGGCGGGTCCTCGGCCGCCTCACTGGACGCTGGGCTCCTCCGCGCGGCCCCGGGCCCGCGCCACGCTCCCAGGTGCCGCCAGCGTCGCTCGGGGACCTGCGGCCGGGGGCTGCCCGCGGCTGGGCTCACGTGGTGCGCGCGCCGGCGGGGCACAGCCGCGGGGCCCGCTGCTTCCCATGGCGCCGGCGGGCGCGCGGGCGTGCCTCACCCGGGGCCGCGCGGGACCTGCGGGCAGACAATGCGCAGTGAAGGCGCGCCGCGGCCCGGGACGCCTTCCCGGCCCGCGCCCCGCCCGAGCCCTGCGCAGGCCCGGGGAAGCCTCCTCCGAGGGAACCCCCGCGCTCCCCGGGGGCATGGTGACGTCACCGAGGAGGGTGACGTCACGCCGCGAGGTTCCCCAGATAGGGTTTCCCCGGATCTGAGACCCGGCGGCCGCCGCCGAGCCCTGGTGCCGAGGGGACCCGAGGCGGGCCAGCAGGGGGCGCGCGAAGGCCGGGCTCGGGCTCCGAGCCCGCACGACTGGTTCGCCACCCGCAGCCCCCGGCCACCAGGTACCCAGGGCCCAAAAGATTTCAGAGGCTCATAGGCACCGGGGCGCTGAAGGGGAGTCTTGGCGCGGTCGCTTGGCGGAGGGGAAACGGTGGTGCACCTCCTGGAAGCCCGCAAGCAGCCCGCCCGGCGCCCTGTGCACGCGCCCGGCGGTCCCTGCTGCCCAAGGCATGGAACATGCAGCCTGCGCTGCACCGCGCTCTCCCAGGGTGCTCGGGCCGCTGGCTCCGACTGCTGGTGCGGGCCACGGGCCCTGCCTCTGTCCGCGCTTGGGCGCCGGGCGTGGGCCTGCTCCAACTGCGCCTCCCTGCCGCCTACCCGTGCGCGGCCCCGCTTGGCTCTGCCGCTCTAGCTCCAGGCCCGGCTTCCTCTCCCTCTGCAGCGGGGAGGAAATCTAGACGAGCCTCGGAAGCCTGGTCCTGCACTCAGTCCAGATGGGCAGCTCTAGTTCCTCCTCCCCACAGCTGGGCTGAGGGGAAGCTGGCACCCTAAGAGGAATGTAGGAGGCTGCCCTGGCTCCGGAGTGACGGGCAGCAGGCAACTGCTACCAGCCCCACACAACACAAACGAGCCTCCCTGCAGGCCTCATACCCAGGGCCTCTTAACACACAACCCTTTGGGGTAACTGCGACGATTCCTACTTTCCCATATGAGGAACTGGGGGAGCAATTGGCTGTATAGAATGGCAGGTGGCAGAGCCATAATTTGAACCCAGGCCTGGCCACAAAACCCTAGCCTGAGTGGGGTGGGGGCGTGCACCTGCCTGGGCTACTTTGTGGGCCTGTTCGGGGAGCCCCGTGGACCCTCCTGCCCCAGGTATGCCCAAGGCGCAGCACACACTCTGCTTTGAGGGCCACAGTGAGTCTGAGCCCCAAGTTGGGGGGAAGCCGGGCCATGGGCCACCCCACACTTCTCCCCAGATGGCTCCTGTCTGACTCCACAGCTGCCTTCAGCCATGTGCCACTTGGTGCCCGTGCCAGTCCCTTTCTCCTGGGCCTGCCGTTCCAGAACAGACAATGGCAGGAACAATAGCTCTGCCCGCCCCCTCCACAACCCTGCCATGAGGCTGCCATGGCGACGGAGCCCAGATAAAAACACGATGCTGCCAGTCACTGAGAGTTAATTAAATCTGTTATTCTCCTTTTCCCCAGCCATCAGGACTGCTCTGAGGAAACCGGCACTAACCAGAGGTCCCCCTGGTCTGCAGAGTGGGAAGAGCTCTGGGTCAGAAATGGCACTTCTGGGGCTAAAGGCGATGGGGTTTAGCTGAGTTAGAAATATCTGCCTCGTTCTAGTCCCTTTCTGTGCAGGGGTCCCGTCATCAACACCATCTTGTCACTGATGGTCATGCCCATTTGACAGATGAGACAGGCTCAGAGAGGGAAATGACTCATCCCAGGTCACACAGCTAATCTGTGGAGGAGCTAGGATTTAGCCTGAGTCTGAATCCAAACTCTGTGTCAAAACACTTTCCTCCTATGTGACAAAGGGGATGTAAATGAAAAGCCTGGTGTTCGTGAGCATTCAGTACATGAGGACTCGGCGCTGGCTGGGCAGGACGGCCGGCTAGCAGCCGGAACGTGCATTCCTGTTCCTTCCCAGCCAGGCCTGGCAGGCCTGGCCATCAGCTCTTGGTGGAACAGCTCAGGGGTGGGACAGGGCTCTGGGGTGAAGGGGAGATGGAATGGCAGCTCCAGGTGAGACAAAGGATAGGGACCCGCATACATACGCTGAGGGTGCCCAGCTCAGGCTGGGCGTTAGGCCAGACCAGGGCAGGCCACCCCCAAGATCCACTGGGTGCCACTGTCCCCCCTAAGCCAGCAGCCAGGGATCATTGGTGCATTCTACAGACTAGGCAACTTTGGGCCAGAGAGAGGAAGTCTCTTGCTTAAGATCTTGCAGCTGAGCTGGACCTCTGGCCGCCCCCAGTCCGGCTCTGGTGCTCGGCTGCCGTAGGTGGAGGTCGATGCAAGACACTCGTCTGTGTCGCTACAGCAGGCCCAGGGCTGCAGTCCTGTCTGAATCTCCCTCCTGGTTGCTCAGCAGTCTCACAGAATCCACCACGAATGCTCAACGCGTGAGATTCACACCCAGACCTTTCCAAATGCTGCACCTGACCAGGCCAAACTTCTCAAAGCAGCCGAAAGAGCCGGGCCGCCTCCCTGCTCCTTGCGAGCTCCTGCCCTGGCCGCGGCCACCACCCTTGGCCGCCGGCCCTGCCCGCCCCTCTCCAGAGTCTCCAGCCAGTAGGCACCTGCCTCTTGCCCGCTCTGCTTAGTGTGCGCAACAGCCTGCCCTTCAGACGGACTTACACCTGCCATTTTATTACCCAATTTCTGTTTCCTCCACCTCTCTTACTTTCTTGCAGGTTACTTGAGCATTTTTTAGGATTCCACCTTGATTTATTTGTAGCGGTTTTTGAAGCGTATCGCTCTGTATGGTTTTCTTAGGCCACAAACTAACTGGGAACACGGCAGGGGGACAAAAGCAAGACCCTGGGAGAGGTTCTTAACCTCTGTGTTGCCTCAGTTTCCTCATCGGTGAGGACTGAGCTGATCCAAGCAAGGGGCTCAGAGATGCCCAACAAGCACTCGCCCTGGTGACAGTGGCTTCTGAGTGGGGACCCTGACGCAGACGCCCTGTGCTGCCAGGGCGCTCCCTGCCTGGGGCTGGACACTTTACAGACAGTTCTCACAGTCACCCTAGGAAGCAGGTTGGCATTCTTTCCGCTTGACAGATGAGAACACTCGGCTCAAAGAGATTAAAGGACACCCAGTGGCACACAGATCTTACTTGAGGGCTTGGTGGCAGACACCTGCCACATTGGCCCTCTGCACAAAGAACCCCAGCACCTCCACCTTAGAGCCCAGAGATCTGCTACTGCAGGGGTCCTCGAACTTTTTAAACAGGGGGCCAGTTCACTGTCCCTCAGACCGTTGGAGGGCCGGACTATAGTTTAAAAAAAAAAAACTATGAACAAATTCCTATGCACACTGCACATATCTTATTTTGAAGTAAAAAACCAAACGGGCAAAAACACCCGCATGTGGCCCGGGGGCCGTAGTTTGAGGACGCCTGTGCTACTGGGTCCTGTATCTCAGTCAAGGGCTTGCCATTCACCCCCTCCACCAACTTCTGTTGTTCCTGCCCTCTGCACTGTCTCATCCGTGCACTACCCTTGGTCCTCCCGGCACTGTCTCGGCCACGCCGCCATCACCGTGCTTGCCACTGTGCTGTGCCTGCCCAGCTGAGCCGCTCCCCCCGGGCCTCCCCTGCCTGAGCCTTCCAGAGCCACGCCACCGCCTCAGTCCAGCGCTGCAGCACAGTTTAGACCAGAGCCCTCACACCTGCCCTTGTTAGAATGCAGAGTGCCGGGCCCCGCTCCTAGCAATGGGCTCAGGGGGTCTGGGGTGGGAGCCCAAGAGCTTGCGCCTGTGAAGTTCCTGGCAGATGCCGCTGGTGCTGGCCCAGGGAGCACGCCATGGGGACCACTGAGCTCCATCAGGGCGTCCAGGGTGAGCTCCTGCCAAGGCCTCTTGGCCTCACCTGGCGCTTCCCAGGACAGGCCAGCCCTGAGCCACCCCACCCCCAGGGGGGGGTTGAGGGGCCCAGAGATGTCAGAATGTTCTGGGCTGGCCTGTGTCCAGCACCACAGGCTGCAGCTCTCTTATCAGCTGGCAGACGGCGCCTCAAGAACCACTAGTTGGAGGAGTGACTGGAGGTAGCCAGTCACCTGCTTGGTCTTCTAGCTATAGGACAGGAAGTACCTCAAGAGCTGGGTCTGTGTCCAGTTCACTCTCCTGAGGAATGCCAGCCATTCACCAAAGTGTCACTGAGAGGAAGGTCACCACCCAACCCTCTGTCCTGGCAGGGTGGCTTATAAGCAAGCTGACCCCCCCATAGGTCTGGGTGGAAAGAAAAGGCTGCACAGGGGCCCTGGGGCGGGGAGAGGAAGTCTCAGCCAGCACAGCCTCTGGGTCCAGCGGCCAAGCCCTGGCCGTGAGGCTGTCCTCAAGTGAAGGGACAGAGACTCAGGACAGGAGGAGGGAGGGAGGAGAGTGTGGTGTGGTGTGTGCTGGGCGGGGGAGGGGTGCCGGAGTAGGAAGGTGACTGTCGACCTGTCCTCAATACTTTGCATGTGTGGGGCCTGCCACTGGCCTCTACCTTTGTTATCTCAGCAACACCCGCGGGGCGTGGCTGTTGCCATCCCATTCTACAGATGAGGATGTAGGCCCAACAAGGGGCAAGGCCACGTAGCCAGGTGGCTGTGAAGCCCAGCAACTGCAAAGCCTAACGTCCTGGCGGGAAGGGAGGGCATTTCGGGGAGGCGCTGGTGATGCTTGTACACTCTGCCCACACCAAGACAGATGTCAGAGAGCAGACAGACAGACAAGCATAGAGCTGGCCAGAACCTCACCTCCACCTGGGCCAGGGTACTGAGTGACACCCTTGCTTCCAGGCAGCATCTGTGACCCAACCCTGACACCAAGCCAGCAACCTAGGGCTGGGGAAACTGCCCACAGGACAACAGAGACTAGGGTCCCTGTGGGCTTAGGGCAGCATCTCCTACACTCCGGCCCTCTTGAGGGGGCCTGCGGGACAGGCTGTTGAGAGACCATGCTCCCCACTGAAACCTCAGCCTGTGGCTCTCCGCCTCCTTCCTCGCATCCAGCGTGGGAATCACTCTCTGGCCCTGCAAGAGAGTTGGCCACACAGGGGGAGCCGATGACACTCGCTTGTGGGGGGCAGCCCCGGCTCAGATTCGGCTTCTGCCCTAACAGAGCCATTCCCACACCTGACCCAAAGTTCCTTCACCTGTAGGGCAGGGATGGTAAGACCGGGCCGCGAGGAAAGCAGAACTCGCAAGGGATGTGAAATGCTTCAAGCCCAGCCTGCCCAGCTGCAAGTGACCAACCAAACACCAGCATCTTGCACACCCAAGAGGCCCAGATGCGGAAACCAGCCCATGGTGCTACCTTGTAAATCTGCTGTCACTTTACCATGGACCGCAGGTCTCAGATTCAGGAACCTCAAGTGGAACACAGCTCGTGGACATGTTTTGTTGGCTCACAATCCATTTTTAAAAATATTCCGATTAGTTGCCAACATTTAAAACCCAGGAGATTCTAGGTCTGGATTTCTGGCTCATCTTGAAAATCGGACAGTCTGGTCATACCAAGTCCATATGTCACATGGTGACAAGAGATTGGAGCCAAGCAGCTCCCTGGGCCACCTCAGTCATTCCATTGGCCCCTGGCCCCTGGAGGCATTTGGGTTTCAGTCTCTGAGCTAGATTGAGCACCTACAGGGTCCAGCACTGCATGGGCCCATCTTTGCTAAATTCTCTCTCCCGAGGCCAGGACTGCAAGCTGATCAGGCCTCAGAGCCCATGAACTGGGGGCTAGAGGGTTTGGGGGCGTCCCAGGGTCTCAGGCAGCCCTCACTGCTTGGTCTCACCCAGAGAGAGAAAATGGAGGGAGGGAGAGAGGAGAGGAGGGAGGAAGCCAGCCCAGTCCTATAAAGCATCTGGGGAGCAAGAATCTAGCTGACTTTGCAGGAAGGAAAGGTGTACCAAGGCCTGAAAGACATAGGGAATTTCCTCACTGGAGGAATGTGAAGGTAGGTTAAGAATGTTCCTCTAGAAGGCTCTACGGTTTTTTCCTGCCTGGGTTACAAGAGATGTCACATAGCAGACTTTGCCAGCAGAGAAACCTGCACTAGAAACTCAGCTCTACCCCTTACTGGCTGTGTGACCTTGGGCAAGTCACCTCACTTCTCTGAACCTAAGAGCCTTTATCTCTGCAATGGGGACGATAAACTTACCTTGTGCAACTGTTGCAAAAGTTAGGAGATAATGGATGCAGAGTGCTCAATACAGGTCTCACGGAGCAGTGACAGAACGAGAGGAATGACCCCAGAGGCAGCCCTGCCTGTGGGGGACTCAGGCTTGGTTTCCAGGGCCCCACCTATCTAAGAGCTTCTCATGCCAAGGCCTCAAATGCCCCAAGTACTGGTCGCCTCTGGTGCCCAAGACACCTCCTTGGATGAGAAACCCAAGGGTGGCTGTGGTCCCTGGCATGCTGGGTCTGAAGCCTGCGAGTGGGGCTGGCATCTGCTGAGTCAGGGCTGGGCGAGCTGGCAGGAGGGCCCTTTCTCTCTCCAGCACGCTGCCCGCCGGAGGGGAGGCTGGGAGGGAAGCCAGAGGTCATTTCCTCTGAGTCAGAGGCCATCCACCTCCCAGAGGAGCTCCCCTGAAGGACTGAGCACCTCCATGTGGTGCTGGCCTCCCTGCCGGCCAACCTGCACGCCACCCAGCACAGTTGGGGCATTGTGCTCAGACAAGAAAGGGGCACTTGTGGTCCAGATGACGGGCTGGGGCGCTCCCGTGTGGCCCGGGCTTCAGCTTCCCTGGGTCAGCAATGTCCTTTCCTCTGCTCCTGCCCACTCTGCTCCCACCCCTCCCCGGGGAACGGTGGCCAGGAGCGCCGAGCGGACTCACCGCCGGCCCGTGCCTGGCCGTCAGGAGGAGGGATGCGAGCTTCTTGCCTCTGCCCTGGTAAGGAACATCGCCTCCGGGCAGCCAGCGCGGGTCAGGCCATGTCGAGGGTGGGCGGGAGGCGGCTCTGGGTGGTGCCCGCGGTGGGACGGCCGGCGGAGACCCCAGACTGAATCTCCAAGGCTCCTCCTGCCGCGGCGGGCCCAGGGGCTGGGCCGCCCCCACGTTTGCAGCCACCCCAGGAGCCCCGCTGCGACGGCCGCAGCCACGTGGGAGCCAGCTCGTGCCCACGGGCCGCTCGCCCCCGCCCCCACCTCCGACGTGCCCTGGAGGCAGGCGGGCACGCCCAGACTGGCCGGAGAGGCGACGCTCCCCCCACCGCGCACCCCTCTCCCCCAGTGCCCCCGAGCTGCGGCCCCCCGTGGGGGGAGGGAGGGGGAGGGGCGCCGCCGCCTCGCAGTCGCGTTGCTGGGGAGCGCAACCCCGTTGCTGTGGCAACCGTTTCCAAGCGAAGTGGTGGCGGCTCGCGCCCGGCTCTGGCTCCCTCGCTCTCCCTCCCTCCGGTGTGGGCTGGGGGAGGGGCTGCCCGCGGCCCGGGCGGGGGTCCGGGCCGGCGACCCCGGGCCAGGGCGCAGGGCCGCCCACAGCCGAGGGTTCAGTCCTGGGACCGTCTTCCGCCCGCGCTCCGTGCCCGCCCGGCCCGCAGCCGCCGAGGTACTCACGGGCCCAGGCATCCTCCTCGAGCTCGTCCTCCTGGCCCGGGCGAGCGGCGCGAGCCCAGCGGACAGAGCCCCCGGCCTGGGGGCGGCGGCGGCGGCGGCCCCGGGGAGCAGACAGCGGCAGCGAAAGCGGCTCCGAGCGCTGGGCTGGAGGCGCGGGGCGCGCGCACGGGCGCGTACACGGCGCGGGGCGAGCCCGGCGTGCGCGCGCGCGGCTGCCACCAGAGGGCCCCCCACCCCCAGCCACTGAGGACGCTGCCCCACGAGGGAAGGAGCGGGAGCACGGGGCGCGCACCTGCCGCACCGAGACCCGGCACTGAAGGGCGCCGGGCTCACACCGGAGGGCACCTGTACAGGAAATGCACGCCCGGCCACACAGCTTTTAGCGACAGGCCGTCTGGCCGGGCACACGTTGGCAGCCCTGGTGCACACACAGCAGCCAAGCAGCTTAAGTCTGGAACCCCGACGTGCTGCACACAGCTCAGCCTGGAGGGCACACGCACGTCCCGGCCCCAGCCACATCCCGACAGGCACTGCACACACGCAGTGGGCAGGGGCTGCAGCAGGGAGCAGGCGAGCACCCCCATGTGGCTCCCTCCCAAATCACGGCCTCTCCCACTGTGTCCCCAGCAGGCATCAGTCACATGTCTACTAGGAAGCAGCACAGGCAGGACCTAGTGCTGTACCCACAGCTCTGGCCTCCATGGGCATGCTCCCCTGAGGGAACAGAGGTGACCCCTAGAGGGGCCCTGCCGTCTACCCTTAGGTCCAGGCTTACAGAGGCCACTCTCCACCTGGCTGTCCATTAGCCTCTTAGCTGGATTCTCTGTTTCTAGTCCAATTTGTGTACTGCACTTAAGGTGTTTTTCATCAGTTGAGACATTGGGGTTGGAAGTGTCAGAACCCCAAAACAGGCCGGGTGTGGTGGCTCACGCCTGTAATCCTAGCACTCCGTGAGGCCAAGGCGGGTGGATTGCTGGAGGTCAGGAGTTCGAAACCAGCCTGAGCAAGAGCAAGAGCCCCGTCTCTACCACAAATAGAAAGAAATTAATTGGCCAACTAATATATATAGAAAAAATTAGCCTGGCATGGTGGCACATGCCTGTAGTCCCAGCTACTTGGGAGGCTGAAGCAGGAGGATCGCTTGAGCCCAGAAGTTTGAGGTTGCTGTGCGCTAGGCTGACTGACACCACGGCACTCTAGCCTGGGCAACAAAGTGAGACTCTGTCTCAAACACAAAACCCAAAACAAATAGGTTTGAGCTCAGGGGCGATTGTTCATGTCCACTGGCAGGTCCTGGGGTAGATTCCAGCTTTGGTCACAGTTGGTTCCAGGTGTTCCAGCAACAGCATCAAGCATGCGCCTGCTTCTCCCCACTTTGCCTGTGTGGGTGCGTCACTCTCAGGCAAGTTCTCCCCACGTGGTGGCACGGATGAGCCCTACTGCTCTAGGCTCATATCCTGCCATCCATCCCCAGAGGAAAGAGAACCTCAGTTATTTCCCAATAGTTCGAGCAAAAAACCAAACAAACAAACACACAACTCTACAACGGACTCTTCTTGGACTCATTTTGGCCTAGTGTCCATCAGTGAACCAATCCAAGTGGCCATGCCTTGGGGAGGGGATATATCTTCCATTTGGCCAAAGGGAATGGCCTCGGAGTTTGTATTCCCTTTTCTGTGTATGAGCACCCAGATTTCATCCGGGCAATTACTGTCCTCAAGGCGGACTGGTGAACCGAGTGCCCTTCTCAGGCACAGGGAGAAGGCCCCAGCCTGGCCATTCCGGCTCCTTGGGTTTGGAGTCAGACTCAAAGATGCAAAAACACAAATGGCTGTAGCATCTCGCTTCTTGTGGTGATGACCCGGTGAGAATAGGAACTGCAACTAAGACCTTAGAGCTGCCCCACATCCTTTCAATACTAAGTTAGCTGGAGGACAGTCCTGTCACTTGAACATTCCCACCTGGCTTGCATGCTGTGGGTGTGTGTGGCATGTGTGCACACAGCGGGCAGAAGCCCAGTCCCATTTAAACCACATGGATGGAGAATGGGCGGTTCCCCAGAGGAAACTTGGGGTGCCATGACTTTCAAAGCTGGCCACAGCCAGGCGTGATGGAACACACCTATGATCCCAGCTACTCGGGAGGCTGAGGTGGGAGGACCGCTTGAGCCCAGTGGCTTGAGACCTGCCTGGGCAACATTGTGAGACCCCGTCTCAACTAAAAAAAAGGAAGAAAAAAAGCTGGCTGTGTCTTGTGGACCTCAAGCTCCAGCCACTCCTTTCTTCCAACTGCCCCCATGCTCAGCCACTCCAGACACTGGAGGCCATCCAGATGTGCTCCCCTCCCTGGAAACACCCTCTGTCCTAGAGCGCACCAACTCTTAACACCTTCGTGGTCAAAGGGCCTACCCTGTTTGGTGTTGCCCCCACCCCCACCAACTGGGGTCCCCTCTCCCACAGTGCCAGTCATACTAGGCCCCCTGTTCCCACACCTGCCTCCCTGCCAGACCAAGCTCCAAGCTGGCAGGGGCCTCTTCTCTGTCTGGGTCCCCAGCTCCCACCATAGAGCTGGGCTGGGAGGAGGTGAGCTTAGGGAAGGCTTGTTGGGAAATGCATTCTGGTTTTCTTTGCCAAGGATCCACTGGGGTAAGAGCTGTAAGGTGGGTTTAACCCTAGCCAAGAAGTTCCCAGATGCCTCCCTAGCCCAAGGACCAGCCTGGCCAGCAGGTCTGGCTCCACTGTAGGCAGAGTGCCCCAGGGCCCTGCATGTCCACCTGGCCCCCATCCACCTTTGCACACCTGCCCTGGTAACTGCTTAATAGGCACCACCCTCAGCCCCCTAACACAGCCTGGGGCAAACACATCTTGGGATCCAACCTCAGGACAGACACAGGGGCAGTATCCAGCTTTTCCATTTTCTCCTGGCTTCCTCCCCACCCTGCAATGGCCAGCTGGGAGACCATGAGCAAGCACAGCCCCCAGTCCCATTTCCCTGAAGTCCATGGGAAGCAGAGAGCTCTCCACACGAGCCGGGCCGGCACAAAGGCCCCTTCTGCCAAGCTGGTGCTAGGCACCTTCCGCTACCCTTAAGACAGCCGGTCAGCTTGGCACTCCCCCTGCACTTGAGAGTCCCATGGTGCCTTGGGGGTTCCAGGGGGCCAAATGGCTGCTTCAGTGAAATCTTATAGCTGTCCCGGGAGGTGATGGACACCTATCTTTCCAGACAGGGGCCTGTGCACAGCCAACTTGAAAAGTGGCCAGGCTGAGACTTGAACCCAGAACTGTCAACTCCAAAGCACATGTGGCTTCTGCAGCACTGGATGCCCAGCCCAGAGGTAAGGAACAAAACGTTATGGAAGGTACACGGTATTCTTGGAGGGGCTGGGGACACCGGGAGGCTACGGAGCAGCGATGGGTTTACCAAACCTGGGACAGATTTGTGGTCAACAAGCTCTCACCCCAAGTGTCTGCCTAGGAGGGTCCCCGGAAGGCTCTCCCCAGTCCCTCCCCCAGGTGAAGGCCCCCTTCAAGGCCTGGCTCAACCACTAATCTTGAGATCCCTCCCTGATGCCGCCATAGCCTTCTTCCCAGTTGTCACCAGCATTTAGGCCTCTGCTTGCCCACACGGCATGCTTGGAGGGCAAAACAGAGGGATGGTTCTGATGCTTGTGTCCCAGGCCAGCGCCAGGTGCATGGCTGGTGTCTAGGTGAGACAGCCCTGGAGCAGATGTCCCCAACCGAGCTTCCCACTCACTCACCAGGCTGCTCCTAGTCCACACCTAGCAGCCAGGCCACCTTGGCTGGGGCTGCCTCTGCAACACAGAGACAGATGGGACCCAGTGGGCACCCCAGGCCTCTTTCCTCAGGCCTCACCCCTTTAGGAAATTGAGAAACCCTCTGGGTAAGCCCAAAGGCCAACAAGGCCTGGTTGCCTAGAGAGGCTACCTCCAGGTCAGCCCTGGGGACTCCTGGGCTCCAGAAGAGCAGCACCCTGCCTCCCACCAGGTCCACCTCCAGTCCCTTCCCACTGCCAGCTGGGCCAGGGAAGCAGGAAGAGCCCGGGAGCACCAGAAGCAAGAAAGAGGCAGGCAGGGCCGCTGGCCAGGCTTGTGCTCGGACTGTATTCACACAGACACGTGGCAGCTTACACTGGACAAAATGAGTAAGAAAAATTGGCTTTAAATATGGAAAAACCAGGGCCCTGTAATCCCACGCTACCCTAACTGGGACCAGGACGGACATCATCACAGTCTGGGAAGGGCCAGGGCTGGGGCCTGGGGCGCAGGCGCAACCTCACCCCGCCGCCCTCACACGCTCACAGACGCACGCTCACGCACGCACCCCCACACGCACAACAGGGAGGGGCGGATTATTGCTGGGCACATGTGTCTGTTGTTACGAGGGGAGTCCGGAATGTTTGAGCGTTGGCCAGGGATACCCCCACCCACGGCCTAGGCTAGGGCATTTCTGAAAGAGGCATCTTCAGGACAAGGCCCAGCATCAGGGTCGACATGCCTGGGAGCCGGAAGGCAGAAGCAGACCCACCTGGGACAGGGGCTGGTGGGCCTCAGGCCAGCCAACCTCTGCTCACACTTTGGCATAGGCCTAGGGGACACAGAGGCCTCAGATCCGGCTCTGGCAAGCGCTGAGAAGGGACAGCACTGGCTCCCAGAATGTGGCAGCCTGAGCCCAGGGTGGCAGGGGCAAATGCCTCACTCAGAGGCTGGTGGTGGCCAGCACAGTGCTGGGCATTGGGGGTCCAGTTCAGTCTTGGCCCATCAAGCTGGGCCTGAGGAGCCTTGAGTTTGGCAGGGGCTCCTCCGCCAGCTCCCGCTGCCCGAGCCAGGACCCACTGCCCTGGGCAGCTGGGGCAGAGGCGCCAGGTCCAGGGTGGGGTGCTATGTACATTCATACAAATACATAAATACAGAAAGCCCAGAGCTCTATGGAGAAGAGCTGAAGGGACGCACCTTTGTCCCAGCGAGGGCCCGGGCCGTGCCAAACTCAGCCAGGCCAGAGGCTGAGGGCAGAGGACACGGGGACAGCTCCGGCTGACCCCCAGGCCACGACTCGAATGGACAATGGGGAAGACCACTGTGCAAAACTGTAAACAGCGCCCAGAGTAGCTGCTACCGCCAAGTGCCGGTGGGGGCCTCAGGCTCGGGGCTAGAGGCGGGTAGGGAGCTCGAGGCGGGTGGGGAGCTCTTCCTCACTGTCGCTGCAGTTCCCACAGCAATCCTGGAGGGACGGGGAAGACACGGAGGGAGAGAGGCAGAGCGGGCGCCATTAGCCACCAGGGATGTCACACAGGGCCAGCCCTGCTAGGGCAGGCCAGGAGCTGCCCAAGGTCGTGCTCTGGGGAGGGGCTCCCCAGGAGGGGCCTGGAGCAGCAGCTCAGGCCACCAAGGGTGGGCGTCAGTGCAGAGGCTGCTGGCAACAGACTGAAGGAGGTCTGGTGGACCCCAGGGTCTGCCAGGGCCAGGCCTCTCTGCCCAGCCCTCTCCCTGGGGCCGGTGGAGGCAGAGCGTGGGGAGAAGACTAAGCGAAGCTGGCAGCTCAAAGGGGCCAGGGTACAGGGAACCGAAGCAGTGGGCGGGGTAGGGGGCGGGCACCAGACTTCTTTCTCCCACATCTCGCCTCTGCCATGGAAGGGCTGCCTGTGGCTCCCCGGGGCCAGGCAGCAAGGCCAACCCACGGGGAGCCCACACTGCTCACCTCTGGAAAGAGAAAAGAGGCCGTGAGCCCAGCCAGGGGTGGGGGACAGGTGGGAATGAGGCCAGAGACCCTGGGCACCGCGGGCGGGGCTGAGGATGCGCATGCGGGCACCAGCTCTGCCTCCCACCCGCCGCCCCCTGGAGCCAGCTGGGGCCCAGGCAGCACAGCGCTGCGCTCACCTGCCGGCTGAAGAGTCTCTGCAGCAGCCCCTTCTTGGGGGGTGCAGGTGGCTGGCCCTTCCAGTCCAGGTCTGGGGGGACTGAGCCATCCAGCCCGAAGACATTGAGCTCCTGGAAGCACTCCGTCTCCACCATCTGCCGAGGAGCAGGCAGCTGTGAGGGCTGCCCCAGGGCTGCTCCCCCAGAGCCCACCCCCCCAGCAGGGTGGGCCCCCACCTCATTCTGCCAGGGAATGGGCACACTGCCCGTGGCAAACTTCTGGTAGAAGTCCTGGTCGGTGGGCTCCAGCTCCACTCCCTTGACTGTGGAGAACTGTTCGATGTCCAGAACGTCCTTGCAGTAAATGGCCTGGGGCTGGGGGTGGAGGGGAGGGGCAGCGGTCAGACAGGACACACACAGAGGGAGGCAAACCTGAGTCTCACTGTGGCCTTGGCCTGGTGCTGCCTCGACACCAGCAGCTCTCTGGTTTGGGTCAAAAGCCAGGAGGCGGCCGGGCACCGTGGCTCACGCCTGTAATCCTAGCTCTCTGGGAGGCTGAGGCGGGCGGATTGCTCGAGGTCGGGAGTTTGAAACCAGCCTGAGCAAGAGCGAGACCCCGTCTCTATTATAAATACAAAGAAATTAATTGGCCAACTAATATATATAGAAAAAATTAGCCGGGCATGGTGGCGCATGCCTGTAGTCCCAGCTACTTGGGGGAGGCTGAGGCAGGAGGATCGCTTGAGCCCAGGAGTTTGAGGTTGCTGTGAGCGAGGCTGACGCCATGGCACTCACTCTAGCCTGGACAACAAAGCGAGACTCTGTCTCAAAAAAAAAAAAAAAAAGCCAGGAGGCACATGCACGTCCTAAGCATGGCAGCCCTTCTCTCCAAAGCCCAGTCTCTCCCTCTGCAGACCAGGACTGTCACCGTCCCCCACTGCTCAGTGACTGCATGAGACCGCGTGAAGGCCAGTGCTGGGTGCCCCTCCTCACGCACGTGGCTCTCTGGATGTGCAGCTGGAGCGGGGAGAGCAGGCCCAGTCTCGCTCAGCTGGGCCTTGGCTAGGCACTGCCATGCAGGGGTGCCCTGGGATGTCCGGGGCTTCCTCTGTCCCCTCTCCCAGCCAACCAGATAACTGGCAGTCTCCCACCACTCCAACCCCAGGTCCCTCCTGAGCCCACCTCAGCCCTAGGAGGCCACTTTCTTTTTCCTCTTGATGTTGTTTCCTAAATCCCTCTATTAAGGATGTCTATTAAAATATCGTCATCACAGGCTGGGCACAGTGGCTCACACCTATAATCCCAGTACTTAAGGAGGCCAAGGCAGGAGGATCGCTTGAGGCCAGGAGTTTAAGACCAGCCTAGCAACACAGCAAGACCCCATCTCTATAAAAAAATAGAAAAATTAGCCTGGTGTGGTGGTGTGCACCTGTAGCCCCAGCTATTTTGGACGCTGAGGCGGGAGGATTGCCTGAGTTCAGGAGTTGGAGATCGCAGTGAGCTATGATGACGCCACTGCACTCTAGCCTGGGTGACAGAGCAAGACCCTGTCACTAAAAAAAAATTTTTTTTTTTGAAAATATCATGTAAAATGGTACAGCCGCTTTGGAAAACAGTCTGGCAGTTCCCCAAAAGTTTAAACATAGTTACTACACGACCTAGTAATTCTACTCCTACCTATATACCAAGAGAAATGACATGTAGCCACACAAAAACTTGTATCTGAATGTTCATAGCACCATTAGTCACAATAGCCAAAAAGTGGAAACAACTCCAATGTCTATCAATGCTTATGAATAAATAAGCAAAATGTGGTATTATCTATACAATGGAATATTGTTCAGCCTTAAAAGGAATGAAGTACTGACGCCTGCTACAACACGAATGGACCTTAAAAACAGTATGCTAAATAAAGTAAGTCAGGGCCAGGCACGGTGGCTCACGCCTGTAATCCCAGCACTCTGGGAGGCCGAGGTGAGAGGATCATTTGAGCTCAGGAGTTCGAGACCAGCTTGAGCAAGAGTGAGACCTCGTCTCTACTAAAAATAGAAAGAAATTAATGGGCTAATAGAAAAATATATAGAAAAAAATGAGCAGGGCGAGGTGGCACATCCCTGTAGTCCCAGCTACTTGGGAGGCTGAGGCAGGAGGATTGCTTGAGCCCAGGAGCTGGAGGTTGCTGTGAGCTAAGCTGACGCCACGGCACTCTAGCCCGGGCAGCAGAGCGAGACTCTGTCTCAAAAAAAATAAAAATAAAATAAAGTAAGACAGATACAGAGGACCCGGCAGGACTGCATATGTATGAAGCGTCCAGAACAAGCACATGTACAGAAATAGACAGCAGATGAGTGCTAACATGGGCGGGCGTGGGCGGCGAGGGAGAATGAGGAATGACTGCTAAGGGTATGGGGTTTTTGGGGGGTGCTGGTGATGAAAATATTCTAAGATTTATTGCGGGGATGGTGCATAACTCTGAGGTCCTACAAAGCCAACGAACTGTATACTTTCAATGGGTGAATTGTATAGTATGTGAATTAAATCTCAATAATGCTGTTAAAAAATAGATATATATCATCAAGCTTGCTTTTCATCTCCTGCTTCTGAAAAGTTAAACTGCAGGGCACCGAGTTTATTCCTAACTCTGAAGGGCAGATCAGAGGCAGTGTGATTGTTTCGAGGTTAAATGAGATGATGTGCACAAGCAGCAGGGACAAACCGAGTGGCAGCAGCAGCCCGACAGAGGCTGAGGAAGGTCAGGCTCCCTGGGTACAAGTGCCTGTGACAGCCAGCCTTCGGGGCCCGCAAGGCTGGCCAGAGGCACAGGCCGGGGCTGGCCTCCCCACTTCCACTCACACTCCCCAGGGCCCCCTCCCCACCTCACATTCCTGCCCCA